GACCAGAGGAGTGACAATGGCGACGTTGTAGTGGTCGTCCATCTTGAGGTCGTAATTCGTGAAAAACTTCTTGCCGAACTTATCGAAGGTCTTACCGGTCGGATAAGCATCATACTCACCACCATCAGGGTTGGCCTCCTGCTTATCAGCAACCACCTTGTAATCCTTGAAGGTCTGCTCCAAGGTAGAAGCAGGAATGCCCATCTCCTTAGCGAGATCGTAAGCACTGCTGAACTCTTTCATGACACCACGGCCCTTGTAGTGCTCAACATGCCAGCGAATCTCGTCAGACGCAGCAGTGTTCAATACCAAACGGAAGGGACCCTTGTTGTGGAACATCTTATCGGACACATAATCACGACGGCCGAGCTCATTGGCGAAGCGATGACCATCAGCATCGAGCAAGATTCCACCAACACCACGAAGAGCCTCAGCAGCCAAGAACTTGACCTTACTGTCAGGATCCTTGGGGTTCACGAGACCGGTAGGATGAACCTGTACCCACTCGAGATCAATAGTTTGGGCACCAACTGCAACACCCATCTTGATTCCATCACCAGTGCAATGCTCGCCATTGGTAGTGGACAACTTGAGCAAGTCCGGACGATACTTGGCTAAGAGACCATCCTTAGAGAAATCGGCACCATAACCACCGGTAGCGAGGATAACAGGTCCCTCTAACGTATATGTCTTGCCGCCCTTCTCATACTTCACACCAACAACATCACCCTTGTCATTCTGAACAAGCTCAGTAGCACGAGCCTTGTTCATGATCTGACACCTATCGGGCAGAGCTTTGGAGATTGCCTCAGCCATTTGCATTTCAGCATAGGTGATAGTCATACCAGGGAAGCGCTCCTTTCCACGATGGGTACGCTCAACAGAGTGACCACCCAAACGAGAGAGTAGAGAAAGATCGAGATCGAAGTTATCCATCAACCATTCGACGGAGGCACCAGACGCTTCGACCATGGTCTTGATGAGTTGAGGATTCTTGGAACCACCCTTCATGCAATCGAACTCGAACAGCTCATTGGATCCTTGATGCCAGTCTCTCTGAGTCTAGTGCAGATCCATTGATACCAGAAGTGGCCTTGGACGAGTTACC